GATTGAAATTTCCACTCCTAACTGATGCAATCATAACATGTGATATGACTGCATTGCTTAGTAACAGCAATCTTGGCAGTGCGTCTTTTTGTTGTTAACTGAATCCTACAATTTTTTAGGTGAGGATCTGCTCCAATCCAAGCCATTCCTGTTTGGCCGCTTTGTAACCACTCCTCTTCAGTTGATGCCTATCATACACCCATCTCTGACCTTTTGGACAGTCCTACATATTGCTGCTACCCACATTGCCCGTCACACTGCACGCTCCTACTGCCAAGGTCTTCATGCTGCCTTCTTTTGTGTAGCCAGGATGCTGGACTTCTCTTACATTCCACCCTTGGAAGAAGACTCTCCAGGGCCTTCTTTTGCGAAGGAAGCCTGGTGGGTAAAAGAAAGACCTAAGTAGCACAAGTACCTGCAAATCAAAGCAGGATTTTCTTTCTTTCCCAAAGAACTGAAAGAATGGGAGATAAATACCACAAAGGAAATTCCCAAGTATCTACATTCCACTACAACTTATGGTTGGTGAATTGTGAGATGCTGAGAAGCATTGTCCCACCAACTAGGTTACAAGTTGTGCATCTATGAAATTCTGCTCTTTACTAACATACACATTTAGTTGTCTTTGTGAAGTTTAAGGGATGCAAGTTCATCACAAAATACATCTTTTCTTCATATACAGAATTATTAATTGTATTAATTGTAATATTTGAATTAACATTTGAATGTTAGTGTTGCTAATCTGCTCATTTTCAACTTTAGAAACGGAAAAGAAGCAGTGAACTTAATCATGGTGAAAGTGATATCTTAGAGTATCATTTAAAGGTAAGTTTGAAGACTAATAATGGGACAGTGCCATTTGTTTTTGTGACATATGCTTAACTTAAGAAATGTTCAGTGTTAAGAGAAACTTTGTATGTTGAAATAAAAGTTACATTCACACTTGATGTTTAGATAGAATGTGGTTATTTATTTATCAGATTGTACCCTACCTTTATAAGTAACTCAAGGCAACAAATACACCTAACACTCCTTCTTCCAACTATTTTCCCCACAACAACAACCCTGTGAGGTGAGTTAGGCTAAGAGAGAGTGACTGACCCAAAGTTACCCAGCTAACTTTCATGCCCAAGGCAGGACTAGAACTCACAGTTTTCTAATTTCTAGACCAGCACATTAATCACTACAGCAAACTGATTCCAGTCATGACTTAATTCATTGTATGAATCCATTCTTGCTTAGTGCAAACTATAACTAAAAGTACATTGAATTTTTTTTGAAAGGTGTTTCAATTGTAGTTTCTTTTGTGAATGGTAGTACAGACATAGTCTATTTACTTGTGACTAAGGCTATTTCCTCATTATTGACTTTTAATGTCTTGATAGCCTCATTCAGTAATTGCTGGAGTGTTATAAGGCCTATTCTGATTACTAATATTTAGTTTAATAGTGGTTAAATGATTCTAGAATATTCTATAACCTATAGTTAAGAAACGACCTTAGAGATTATGCATGAATGGATGTATGCTGTAATTTTAACCACAATTAGACATAAAGTGATTGGTGTTAGTTTAGCATGATAAAAAAGGCATTTTTATGACATAGTATTATGAATTAACTAGGAACAGGCTTAAATAATGTCCTAAGTCATAAGAAATTTAGCATGATTTTGGAGGTTTTTTTCTAATCTTATTTATACAGTTTATTTAAACCATGATTTTATTACATAACTTGATGGGTGAATCTCTTATTTACTCAACAGTGTGCCTAAACCATGGCTAAGTGTGATGTATGCATGCAGTTTTGCTTTTTCTATAAGGAAACATATTCTTGTATGTGTAACTTAGACCTTTTGATGGTGATAGTTGTTAATTGGCTTTATTTCTTGATCTTGTGCATTCCTAAATACTGTGAATATTTTTAAATAGTTTGGTTTCATTTTTAAATTGTAAATTAGGTAATAATGGATCTGTAAGCCTCAAGGTGAGTAGAAGATTGCTAATCTAATAACATTTATAATTGTCCTATCTCTGTTGTAATGCTTCTGTTTGCAAAAATGTTCATGTGAAGGATTCATAACATTCTTCATTCAAACATGAAGAAATAATGTTAAGATGAACAAATCCAAAAACATTTTATAACTGCTCCATGCTTTCATTGTGCAACTGAACTTCTTAGTAAATTGTGGTTGACAAATCTGCATGTTTCAAGCAATTTCCCATTATCTTTTATTACACAGATCAGTGGCATAATTTTGGATGGGACTAGATGTTTAATCCAGGAGGCACGCAGAAGTGGTTTCCTTCAGCCTAATTCTATAGACCAGTTTTATGTCAAGGCATCTGACAAAGGACCCAGTAATTGCAGTTTGGCTGAGCTTTGCGAGATGGCCAAGTGTTTTGTTTCCATGAATGAAAGAGAGCAAAAACGTGTAATAGACAAGGAAACCTCTGACCCAGAACAAGTTCAATTAACCTGTGTTACTGAAAATAATACAAACAATGCGAAGATGTTAACCCTAATGGGACAGAAATACTTATTTCCCCCCAGAAGTGCATTTCTTTTATCCGATTTTTCATGTATGCAGCCACTTTTGAATTGTAAGTACTGGTACATATCTTAGTAAAATTTCTCACTTGTTCAGCAATTCCTAAATATTTTCCATGGCAGTTTTATGTATATTTTTAGTAAAGGAGGAATTGAAAGACCTGAATATCAATTTGAACAGTTTGATTAGTAGAATTTTGCCTTGATATAAGCAAAATATTATGTTTATCTCAGTGTATAGTGAATGACAAAACTTGTTCATGGTCCATTCCCTTAGCTATAATGTATGCTTGTTATAGCATACAAATCTGCCTGCATAGCCAGTAAATATTTTATGGTACATGTGAAACTGTTATAATTGCTTGTATGAAATTCAGCTGTTAAATACAGCTTTGCATGTAAAGCAGTGTGGTTGATATAAAATTATAAGGGCAGATTTTTATTGTTTCAAAATGCAGGGAAATATCATACTTTCAATTCCTTTGAAAGATGTAAGTTTTAGGATCTTAAAATATGGGAAATACTTTTATAATTTCAAATAATTGTTCCTGCAATTATTGAAAACATTTTTTTCCAGATAAAAAGAAGTATGACATAATTGTTATAGACCCACCATGGGAGAACAAGTCTGTTAAAAGAAGCAACAGGTATGATTCCCATAAATGTATATTTTTATTTAAATTAAGTAAAAAGCTTTTAATACCATGCCATCAGGCAGGTTACTGTTTTAATGGTACAATAAAAGGAAGTAATTTGCAAAAGGTATCTGAATAAAATTTGCTGTGTATGCTTGATATAAAAAAATTGGTTAATGGCATCCTAACAAGCTTTTTGTGATTGACATTCTCAAATGTAAGAGGACATAATGGTTAGCGTTTATTAAATGAAATTATTCTATTATAAAATTAATTGATAGATTGCTATAATTGGTGATTATTCTTGTTTTCATAAATATATTACTTTAAGAGTATTGTAATATAATTTTGGCTGGTTGACTTAGAAATGTGCAAGTTATAATCATAAATGGAAAATTAAAAATTAGTAAATTCTTCTGTCTTTTAATAGCTTTTAAATTTGCATATGAAAAATAGTGGAAAAAAAGTAAATTGAAAAATGAGCAAGCTATTTAATTTATTAAAATTAGGCCTCTACAATATCATTCAAACATCCATTTAAAGAAATACAGATTATCCTTGCTTACTATCTATCTCCTTTAGCGGTTGTTCAGTTATGGTGGTATAAAAAATAGCTTTGTAACCAATCATATTTACAACCATCACAATGTCACGTGATCACCATTTGAGTACTTTGCAACTAGCTTGCAACGTGTAAAGTTAATAAAGAAGATGGAAGTAAAATCATAACTTGCTGTCACAGGATGTTTCACTTAACGACTGAACACTTAACTACAACTGAAGAGGAAGTAAGATTGTAAATAAAATAGAGTAGAACAGAATAGATAATATAGAAAAGAAAAATGGAATGGAATGGAATAGAATGGAACAGATCAAACACTTTATTGGCCAAGTGTGATTACACACACAAGGAATTCGTCTCTGGTACATAAGCTCTCAGTGTACATACAAACAACAAAGTAAACGTAATGATACAAATAAGAGAAGGTAGTAGAAAAGATAATAACAGTAATAACAATAACAATAATAAGGTAGTAAAAAAGCCATTCTGCATGGATAAATATCCTTGGGCAGAAGTCCTGTGGTAATTAAGTGTTGAGCAGTGTGATGGTACAAGGGGAAAAAACTGTCTTTGTGTCTGGTTGTTTTAGCATGCAATGCCTTATAGTGGTGTCCTGAGGGGAGGAGTTGTAACAGTTTATGTCCAGGATGTAAGGGTCTATAGATATTTTCTCAGCCCTCTTTCTGACTCATGCAGTATATAGAGCTTCAATGGCTGGTTGCAATTGTTTTTTTCGGTAGTCCTAATTATCTGCTGAAGTCTGTACCTGTCTTGTTTGGTTGCTGTACCAAACCAGACAGTTATAGAAGTACAAGTGACAGATTCCATAATTCCTCTGCAGAACTGTATCAGCAGCTCCTGGGCCAGTATGGACTTTCTGAGTTGATGTAGGAAAGCTGTCGTGCCATTTTAATGATGGCTTTAATGTTAAGTGTCCGTTTCAAATCCTGGGAGATTATACTGTAGAACCCAGAAACTTGAAGGTCTCTATTGTTGATACTATGTTTTCTAATATAGTAAGAATTGGTAGAATAGGAGAGCTGCTCCTAAAATCCATTTTCATCTCTGATAGAGTAATGGTGAGAGCAGGCAGCCCTGGGGGTTGCCTGTGCTAATTGAACAGGTATTTCACCTGTTGCTTTCTGTTAGGTATAACATTGATACCAAATATGGTTTGGGTGAATAAATAT